CTCCTCCTCCTCCATCTCCTCCTCCTCCTCCTCCTCCTCCTCCTCCTCCTCTTCCTCCCCTCGGACTTTAGAAGCAACGAGTGGGGGTCACCAGTCCACCCGACGATGGATCAGCCGAAGTAGCCGCCCAAGCTACTAATTTGGAAACCTTCGGGGGGTTCGTGAGACTATTGGAATGGAGGCTGATCGGTGCCATGTGATGGCCCTCTCGGATCTGTTTGGGGCAGCCGGGGACCTCGTATGGCTCTCGTGAGGCCGCCTTTTTCTGATCTTTCTTGGGACATCCTAGGGGACAGCACATAGACACGTACTAGGCCCATCAACCCCCAGCAGGTGCCTGCAACATTGCCCCAGGGATCCGTCTTAGGAGTCTACGAGCCTCTTACCACCGCACAGAGTGTTCCCCCAGCCGTTGTGGACCCCCTTTGGAGGAACAGAAAGAAGGAGGAAATGGAGGAAAATGAGGAAGAGGATGAAGGGGAGGCCTCTTGAGGCCCTGTTGGGGCCTTCTGGGGTCTTCCTGGGAGCCTTTTGGGGAACTCTAAGGGGGTCTCTTGGGGGTCTCTATGGAACCTCTTGGGCAGTCGTGGGTCCAGGGCCGTCGTGGAGGTCTCTGAGGCCGTCTTGGGGGCCCATTGTCCCGTCTTGGGGTCATCTTGGGGCCTTGCCCGGCGGCAAGCCACGGGGGGCGGCGGATCGAAGACGCCCACGGCGAGGCACCGCCGCCCCCTGCCTTTGGGATCGCCCACGCGTCTGGGCCTCCTAGCTGGGGCCGGGAGCAGATGGGGTCGGAGGATCGCGCCGCATCGCCGATGATTCGTCGATGCGGCTCGATGTGCAGCCCGATTTGCTTCACGTTGACGTCGCCGATGCAACGCCGACGTCGACGGTGCATCGCCGGTGCAGCGCCGATGCATCGCCGAAGCCGATGTATCGGCGATGCGGCGCGACCCTCCGACCTCATCTACTCCGACCCCATCCAGGAGGCCTCTAATGTGGCCGAGTGTTGTGGCAAGAGCTCTACCAAGCTATCGGACCATGTGTTCCCCCCAGCCGTTGTGGAGATCCTTCGGTGAACACTTGAGAGAGGATGGCGGGGAAGATCAGGAGAAGACTGCATCTTGGGAGCTTCTGAGGGCACTCTTGGAGCCTCCTGGGAGCTTTCTGGGAGCCTCTTGGAGGCATCTTGGGAGCCTCCGTGGGCCTCTTGAGGGCCTTTGGAGGCTTCTCGGGGGCCTCTGTGGCAATCTTAGGACAATCCTGGCCCGACTGACGCCGTCGGAAGCAGTCTTTGGGACCTCTCTGGGCCGACTTGGGGGCCCTCTTGTGGTGCTCCAGGGCTATCTCAGAAGCCATCGTGAGCATCTTGGAGGCCTCTTGGGCCGTCTTGTGGCCCTCTTGGGGCCGTCTTGGGAGCCTCTGGGGCTGTTTTGGGGCCATCTTGGAAGCCTCTTGGGCGATCTTGGGGCCATCTTTGGGGGCTCTTGGGCCGTCTCGGGCCGTCGGAAGGGCGAACAGAAGCAAATGCCAAAATTCTTCAAACACCTAAGGGCCATCAATGAGTGTGGCCTCTGAGGGCCTTCCTGGAGGCCCTCTTGGGGGCCCCCTTGGGCCGTCTTGGCGGCCTCTTGGGGGCCTTTTGGGCCGCCTTGGGCCATCTTAGAGTCATCTTGGGCCGTCTTGATGGGCTCCTGGCCCTTCTGACGCCGTCTTGGAGGCCTCTATGGGCCGACTTGGGGCCCTTTTGAGGTGCTCCAGGGCCGTCTTGGGGGGCATCTTTGGCGTCTTGGAGGCCTCTGCGGCCGCCTTGGGGTCCTCTTGGGGCCGTCTTGGGAGCCTCTGGGGCCGTTTTGGAGCCATCTTGGAGGTTTCTTGGGTGATTTCGGGGCGATCTTTGGGGGCTCTTGGGCCGTCTCGGGCCACCTGAAGGCCGAGAAAAAAACTCATGCCCAAATCCTCCAAGCACGTAAGGCAATCAGTGATTTTGGCCTCTTCGGACCTTCTGTAGGACCTCTTGGAGGCATCTTGGGCCGCCTTGGAGGCCTCTTGGGGGGCCTCTTGGGCCGTCTGCCGTCATCTTGAGACCGTCTTGGGCCGTCTTGGATGTATCTTGGGCGAACTTGGAGGCATCTTGAACTCTCTTGGGCAGTTTTCGAGGCCATCTTAGACCATCTTGGGCGAACTTGGAGGCCATCTTGGCCGTCTTGACGACCACCACCTTTGGCCATCTTGGGTCCGAAGATGAGGCCATCGATTTTAACATCGCCATGGTTCGAGGACGCCTCGTGCGAAACGTTTCTTCTGATCACGAAGCGCCCTGGGCTGATCCCCAGGGTCGCGGTGCTTTGAGGGTGTCCCCAGCTAGACGGCCGCGTCTGGAGACGCTGGTGGCGCAGCGGGCGGGCCAGTTCAGGTGGCCGGTGGGGCGGGCCGAACCCAGGGAGAGTTCTCTTGGAAGGAGAAGCAACACCAAACCGTATAGGGTTCAGCACGCCAGGCCCCCCTGTGCTAAATCTATAGGCCTGGCATCGCTTGGACGTGTGCATTTTTCCTTCGGCGAGGACCGTCGAGGAGCATCCTTGATCATTTGCGAAAAAACCACGCACGAAACCGGAAACAACACAGGGAATATGGACGTCCGAGCGATGGCCAGCCAGGAAGAGTTCTCTTGGAAGAAGAAACAGCACCAAGCCGTATAGGGTTCAGCACGTCAGGCCCCCTTTGTGCTAAATCGATGGGGGGGGCGGCGGATCGCGTGGCCTTCGGCCTATCCCGCCACCGCGCTTTGGTTGTAGGTCAGATGCCTCTTGGATGCCTGTGCGGATCTTGTGTGAGGGGCCTCACGGAAGCATCTTCGAGGCAATTTCGGAGTCGTTGGGACCTCTTTGGGGGGGCCTCTTGGGCGGAAACAGCAGTGATCCCCGGCAGACGGGCTCAATCCCCGGCAAAAGGGTTCAATCTTCGGAGGCCACATCTCATATATATATACACATATATATACACATACATACATATGGTAGTTTTGACAACTGAATGCTAAGCGCTGGCGCCAGGGTGGACGTACTCGCATCTTGGCTAAACGTTTTTGGGGCACCTCGCGCCAGCCTCACATGCTTGCGGCCCTCGGCGCGGTGGTGCCAGAGCTCAGCCGCGGGGTGGGCACTGGAATCGCTCTCTGGGCGGCCCGTGGTCCGCCTGCCGCCTGCCGCTGCGAGCCCACCTTCACCTGCCCCGACGTGCACTGCGACTGCTCGGGCTTGCGGGGTGGCTCCTTGCACGGCCCGTCGGGCGTGGTCCTGCTGCTCGGGGGCCTGTGCATCATGGGCGTCGGCGCAGCTGCTGGCACGGCAGGTACTATTCTGGTCCTGCGACGGCGGAGGTCGCCCTGTATTCCATCGGAGTGCGACGACACGGGTGACTTGCTCGGTGGGGAGGCGCGCGCGCAGGTGAAGACCCTGCGGCATCGGGCCCTTGCCCACCTGTGATGGCGGCACCCGTTGCTCCCGTGCACGCCTCGATGCCGGCCGCAGGCGTTCAGGTCGGAGACTTCCTCGGAGTGGCCTACAACATCGGCGGTCGCGATTTGGTGCACGATCGGGTGGTCGTCGCGCTCAACCCAGCGACGCCAGGCTCCGCGTCGATCGTCACCGTGGACGGGGACGAGCATGAGGAGCAGTTCGTGGGGAACGCCGACGTCCGCTACTGGGGCCTGCTGCCCAATGGAGCTCCGGGGGGTGATCTCGCGTGGGTGCCAGCGGCTCGGTACTACCGTTTCAGGGCGATTCCAACTTCGGCCTCATTGACCGAGGCTGCTCGGCGGGCCTGCGCTCGCCTCAGCCTCGCGGCGCCCGTGGAGGCCGTGGTGCCCAACGTCGGTGGCCGCGCGGCCGCGCCAGCTGCTGCCTGTGCAGCGGCCGCCCCTGCGCCCGTGGCGCCCCCAGCAGCTCCAGTCACCGGGGGGCTCGGCGCCTTGGTGGCGGCGCTTGGCGGCCCGGCTGGGGCGGCCCCAGCTGGCGTGGGTGCCCTTGCCGCCGCCGCGCCTGCCGCGGGAGGAGGGCTCGCGCCCCGCGCTGTCCCAGCGGTGCCCACCCCTGCACCGGCGGCTGCTGTGGCGCCCGGCGTCCAAGGCGCGGCGCTGGTGGCTGACGGAGTGGCGGGACCAGCCGGAGGAGCGGAGCCAACCCCACTCGCGCCTGGTGGCGACGCGCGCGCGCTGGCCGTGACGTGGGATGCTAGAGGCATCAGGCACGCGGACTTCCGCGCATCGGTGGCGACGATGGTCGAGTTCCCTTGGGCTGATTGGCCCGTGCGCGGGCCTCGCACTCTTTTGTGGGTGCTGCAGTACATGGCACATCGCGCAGGGACTCCTACCGCACACCATCAGAGATGGTTGTCGGAGACGGGGCTGGAGCTGGAGGCGCCTGGCGTCGAGATTCACCACACGGCATGCATAGTGCTGGAGACGTTTGTCACCTACGACCAGGAACACGCCACCAACTTGGCGCATCTGGAGCTGGTGGCCCGCGCCATTCAGGTGCAGGAGGAGCGCTACAGGCACTTGGTCGCCCCGAGCGAGACGGGCGCGGCCGACCGCGCGGTCATGATGGGCTCGCTGGAGCTCGACGGCTCGGCGCGTGCCTGCCCGGCCCTGCGGGGCCACCTCGCGCTGGAGCTGCAGAGGGAGATTTGAGTGGCCAAGGAGAGGCGCAAGGCGCGCGAGGAGCGCGCCCTCGCCGGCGGCGGCGGTGACCGAGCTGGCGGCGACGGGCGCGGACGAAGGGGGCGGGGGAACCGTGGCGGCTGGGGCGGTGGCGCCAATGCCGCAGGCGGAGATGTATGATGGTTCCCAGGGCGATCGGCCTGGCCAGCCCCCGCCCACGCCCCTTCGGCCCCGCGCGGGCGTCAACAGGCGCCCCGCGCTGACGGCGGCTGCGGCTCAGCTTCCACCGGCGGGCTTCGGCAGAGGGACATTTTCCCGCTGCCGCAGCTCGCCCCTGCTGATGTGGCGCCAGGTCCGTCATCAACTCGTCGGCGAGCGCGCGCCGGCCATGCCTTGGAGCATGCGCTGGGCCGCGCCAGCGCTGCTGTGCATGCCCTGAATTACCTCTACGGCGACCGGTCCTCGCCGTCGCCGTCGGCTCCGTCGGTTGGGCAGCGCTCCGCCGCTGGTCACATCTGGGACTCCACCGTCGCGCTCGGGCCAGAGCCTGATGAGTATCGCGACGACATCTCAGACCCCAACGGGGCCCTTCGGTAGCTCCTTGCCGGGTCCACGTTGCACCTTGACAACAGTGGGCTCACCGCTCCCTACGTGCCAGCCCTCGTCTCCTGGCCTGATGTCTCGCAGCCGCCGGCGCCGCTCCTTGGGCTGCTGGACGAGCGGGACTCCGCCGCGCTGCGGGAGTGGAGGCGCCATATGCTTCGAGATTCTGAGGAGGCGCGTCAGCTACGCGGGGAGGCCTGTCCGCAGGGCCCGCACACGGGCCCCGCGCTGCTCCGCTCGCCAGTTGACTACGCCTCATTCCCCGGCGCGATGGTCGAGCGCCGCATGCTGGTCTTCTCTCCCGCGCATGGGCGTCTGGGCAACGTGGGAGTTTTCTATGTGCCAAAGAGGAGCGGGCGCCTTCGTGTGATCTTCGATACCCGCCTGGCCACCTGCGCCTTCACCGACGCCCCGAGGACCCAGCTGCCTTCAGCATCAGCCTGGGGGCGCTTCGAGACGGGTGGCACGCGCGTCTCCGTCGCCTCGGCCGACCTCGACGTGGCGTTCTACCGCGCGCAGGTGCCGGAGGGGATGGAGGAGTACTTCACGCTCCCGCCAATCGCTGCAAAGTACTCGGCGCCCCCGGGCATCACGGTCGCAGGCGTGACTGGCGAGGACCTCGTGCTACCCCAGGTGGCGGTGCTCCCCATGGGCTTCAGCTGGGCCTTGCACCTGTGCCAGACGGTGCCCCAGACGTCGCTGTGCCGCGCTGGCTTCTCTCCGGAAGACCTGGTCCTGGACGGCCACTGCGGCTGCCAGCTTTCTGACGATCCAGCTTCGGTCGTGGGGGCCGGCTACGTGGACAACTACTTCGTCCTCGGCGGCTCCGCGAAGCAGGTGGGCCAGCGGCTGCGGGTGGTGCCTGGCGACCTTGTCCGGCACGGGCTCTCGGTGCACGAGCTTGAGGCGCCCTCCCAGGACCGCGACGTCCTGGGGCTGTCGCTGCGCGAGGGGCGGTGCCTCAGCCTGCGGACTCGCAACATCTGGAGGCTCCGCGCGGCGAGCCGCGCCGCCACCCGGAGGCAGGCCATCGGCGGCTTCCTCCTGCGGGTGCTCGCGGGGCACATCACCTGGGCGCTGCTGCTGCGACGCGAGCTGCTGTGCCACTGTGCATCCTCAACGCTACCTGTGCGTGCATTCAGGTGACGGGGGCCATCGCTGCCCCGCTCTGGCCGTCAGTCCGCCGTGAGCTCCTTCTTGTGAACGATCTGCTGCCTCTCTGCGCGGCCGACCTGGCTGCTCCATGGCACGAACGAATAGCGCGCGCAGATGCTTCGCCCTTCGGGTTGGGCGTCGCTGCTCGCCGCGCCCCAAAGGACCTCGCGGGTGCCAAGGGGAGAGTCGTTGAAAAGTGGGGGTGCAAGATCGAGGGAGGAGCGCAGGCTAGCAACCGGACGGTCGGGATGGGAGTCGACAGCTCGTTCGCGGAGACGGAGGGGATCGTCACCAATCTTGGAGTTGATGAGGGGGAGGAGGCCTATCTCGTGAATGCGTTCGAGTCGAACTGCAACGTCGATACCAGAGTTTCGAGGGCCCGTTCGAGTCGTTCCTGGAGGCCCGGCCCGCCGTGGACTTCGACAAGGTCCCAGCTCATCTCACTCGGGCGTCTTCTTGGGGGTCGGTGGCTGCCGTGCACGTGGACGGACGGGCTAATATCTTGGCGCTCGAAGGGGGGGCCCTCGTGCTGGGCTATCGACATCTACTGCGGTCTTCTTCGGCGTTTGGGTCCAGATTCCTGATTCTGTCAGACAATCTGCCTCTTGCCCCTGCAGTTGGGAGGGGACGAGCTCGGAGCAAGCACCTCTCTAACACGCTCCGCAAGGTCTGCGCGCTATCTGTAGCCACTTGTTCAACCTTGTCAGTTCGCTAGGTCCCGTCGGAGGCGAACCCCGCGGGCGGTCATAGCCGCGGCTCTGCTGGGTGTTTCTCTGGCAGCCGAGCCGCTCCCCGGGCGCCAGGCGATCTGCAGTTTGCCCGAGCTGCGGCGCGCGCTGCCGGCGCCGCTCGCCCTGCTGGCGGCCTCGGGCCCTTCGCTGCTGGAGCGGCTGGTGATTCGAGGCTCCGCGGCCCGCCCGCATCGGGTGACGCTGAACGGCTTCGTCGGTTATTGCAGCAAGCCCAACCTGGACTGGGCGGACCGCCAGTCGCTGAACCAGGCGCCGGTGACCTTCATGGACAGCCAGTTCCGCCTCGGCGGCGGCGGGCACCTCGGCAACGTGCTCCTGGCAGCGGTCGCGCTCTTCCTCGGCTCGTTGCGCAAGCGGGCGGCCATGCTGATGCCGCGTGCGCGCCGCGCCGCGGCCACCTGGGCGCGGCGGGCGTCGTCGCGCACACGGCTTCCACCGACTCGTCGCGCCGTGCCTGCCCTAGCGGGCCTGCTGCTACGCGACGGCTTCCTTTGGCTCGCCATTTGCATCCTCGTCGCGTTCGTCTGCTACCTCAGGCCCATGGAGGCGGCGAAGCGATGCGGCTGCCACCTCGTAGCACCATCGCCGACCGTGGGAGCAGGCTACCACCTCCTCGGACTGCTGCAGCTCAAGAGCGGCCAGGAGCCCAAGAAGACAGGCATCCACGGCGAGAGCATCCTCTTCGATCGGGAGCCACGGCTCACACCGCTGTTGGAGGCGCTGAAGGTCCGCACTGCGCCGAGCCAGCAGCCGTTCGGCGAGGGGGTGGACTGCCTGGGCGCGCTCTTCGGGCGCCTGCCGACACTTATCGCCACATCGGCCCCGCCCCCATCTCCACAGCCTGCGGCGCGGAGGGGCATCGGGCGACGCGCTATCCCAGCGCCGAGATCTGGCGGAGATCCAACTGCGAGGGCGGTGGCAGGCGCTCAAGAGCCTCAACCGCTACGCCGAGGAGACAAAGCTCCCGGGCGAGCTCGCCTGGATCCACTCGGAAATGGTGGAGTTTGGAGCCGCCTTCGAGAGCAACCTCCAGGAGCTCGTCCGCGGCGCGCTGCCCACCTGGCTAGCGACTGGCCGTGTGCCGGCCGCCGTCGTGGAGCTCCTCAGCCCAGAGGCGGTGCCAGCCTGGCCCCCGCTGCGCAGGCGCCCGGCTGCTCGCGCCCCGGGCAGGGCGGTCCGCCCGCGGAGGCGGTGAGGCAGCACCTGCGGCGGCAGCGCCGGCGCGCGGCCAGTTCGAGCACGGGCCGGGGCGCCCCCCCGCTGCTGCGCCGCCGTCCTGCTCTGGAGCTGTTCTGCGGCGCCGGCACCATCGCCTCCGCCATGAACGCGGAAGGGCACGCCGCCCGCGTCCGGGCTCGACTGGCGGCGCAGCCCACTGGAGGACCATGCGGCCCCGGCCTTCGTCAAGGCCGTCCTGGGCTGGATCCGCTCTCGCGCAGTAGGCGCTGTCTGGCTCGGCGCCCCGTGCACCAGCTGGACCCGCGCTTTGCGGCGACCTCTCCGATCTGATAGCTTTCTTTTTGGCTTGCCTGACTTGACAGCTGCTGAGCAAGCCCGCGTAGACGCGGGTAACGCTACATTTCGCCTCACTGTCACCATCATTCGTGCATGCATAGCTGCCCGTGTGCCCGTCTTTTTAGAGAACCCGCAGTCGTCTCAGCTTTGGTTCTGCCCGCAGCTTCAGAAACTTAGTCAAAACCCCGCGTGCCGAGACAGTGTCTTGCACCAGTGTCAGTACAGCGCCCCTTACAAAAGGGCCACCACTGTCACGTCCTGGCACGCTAGTTCCACTTTACCTCTCGAGAGGCGGTGCGCTGGCAGGCGTGGCCTGTGCAGCCGCACCGGCAACAAGCATGTAGTGTTGGAAGGCAACGATGAGCACGGGCGGAAACGAACCGCCACTGCTGCGGAGTGCCCGCTTCCTCTTGCACAGGCTGCCGCTCGCTGTATCATTGAAGCTCTCACCATCCAGCCCGCTCGGGCCCTTCAGTTTCTTGCGATGCGGTGATGCACGCCTTCTGCCATTCTTTCTGCAGCGTGAAGGTGATAGTTGCTAATGATATGTTAATGTTCGGCCTTCGGCCAGTTGCGCCTACGGGATCGGGCATGGCCCACCGTGCGCACTCGTTTGCCAGCTTCGCCGGTGCTCGCCCGTGCCAGTCTCCAGATCTGCGCCTGGCCCTGTTGTGCCCCAAAAAGGAGACTGGCCCCCGAGAAGCCTCAACGAGCTGGTAGTTTTGACAACTGAATGCTAAGCGCTGGCGCCAGGGTGGACGCACTCGCATCTTGGCTCAAAGTTTTGCCCAATGCCATCCCGTATTCCGCCCCTCCTGCGCAAGATGCTATCGCGTGGGTATGGGTCACCGCGCGCACTCGTTTGCCAGCTTCGCCGGCGCTCGCCCGTGCCAGTCTCCAGATCTGCGCCTGGCCCTGTTATGCCCCGAAAAGGAGACTGGCCCCCGAGAAGCCTCAGCTAGCTATGTATATATATGTACAAATACATATACATATAGATATATATATATATATATATATATATATATATATATACATACAGGGACTCTCAGCTTTGAGGCCAAGAGTTGTTGTGGTGCGCTTCTCGGGCCTGCCGGGATGCTTGGGCGCCCTCCCGGCAGGCCTCCCGGGCCCTCCCGGCAGGCCTCTTTGGGCCCTCCCGACAGGCCTCTTTGGGCCTCCCAACAGGCCTCCTTTGGGCCTTCCCGGCAGGCCTCCTTCGGGCCCTCCCGGCAGGCCGCTTGGGCCTCGCGAGCATGCTGGGCATGTGTGGTCATCCACGGGACTGGGACGACGTTGCTTGCCTCCTGCAGCACTGCGGTTGTCCAGCGGACAGATCGCGCTTCGGCCTTCACGAGAGGCCTCTTGGATCTCCCGACAGGCGTCTTGGGCCTCCCAACGGGCCTCTGGGGACCCCCTTGCAAGGGAGGGTTAAAATCCCTGGAAGTCATTTCAATGTTCTCAGATATTGAAGCGACTGGCTGCTTTGGGCCTCCTGACTGGCTGCGTGGGCTTCCCGACAGGCTTCTTGGGCCTCCTGACAGACCTCTTGGGTTCTTCCGAGAGATTTCTTGGGCGTCTTGACAGGTTGATTGGGTCATTTCCGAGAAGTGTCTTGGGCCTCCCGACAGGCCCCCAGGGCCTTTCCGAGAGGCCTATTGGGCACCCCGACAGTTTGTGTTTGGGCTTCCCGATCATACTCTTGGGTTTCACGACAAGTTTCATGGGTTTCCCGACAGGTTTCTCGAGCATTTCCGGGCATGTTCTTGGGTCTCCCGACAAGCCTCTCGGGCCTCCCAACAGGCGCTTTGGGTTTCCCGATTGGCCTCGTGGGCCTTCCCGACAGGACTTCGGGGCCTCCCGACAGGCCGCTTGGGCCTCGCGAGCATGCTGGGCATGTGTGGTCATCCACGGGACTGGGACGACGTTGCTTGCCTCCTGCAGCACTGTGGTTGTCCAGCGGACAGATCGCGCTTCGGCCTTCACGAGAGGCCTCTTGGATCTCCCGACAGGCGTCTTGGGCCTCCCAACGGGCCTCTGGGGACCCCCTTGCAAGGGAGGGTTAACATCCCTGGAAGTCATTCAATGTTCTCAGATATTGAAGCGACTGGCTTCTTTGGGCCTCCTGACTGGCTGCTTGGGCTTCCCGACAGGCCTGCTTCGCCTCCCGACAGACCTCTTGGGCTCTTCCGACAGGCCTCTTTTGCCTTCCGATTTTTTTTTCATTTGGGCATCCCGAGAGGCCTTTTGGGTTTTCCGTCTGGCTTCTTCCCGACTGGCTTCTCGGGCTCCCGACAAGTGTCTTGGGCTTCCCGACAGGTTCCGGGGGCCTCCCGACAGGCCTCTTGGGCTATTGGGCCTCCCAGCAGGCCTCTTGGGCTTTTGGGCCTCCCGACAAGCCTCTTGGGCCTCCCGACAGGCTTCTCGGGCCTCCTGACAGACCTCTTGGGTTCTTCCGAGAGATTTCTTGGGCGTCTTGACAGGTTGATTGGGTCATTTCCGAGAAGTGTCTTGGGCCTCCCGACAGGCCCCCAAGGCCTTTCCGAGAGGCCTCTTGGGCACCCCGACAGTTTGTGTTTGGGCTTCCCGATCATACTCTTGGGTTTCACGACAAGTTCCACGGGTTGCCCGACAGGTTTCTCGAGCATTTTCCGGGCATGTTCTTGGGTCTCCCGACAAGCCTCTCGGGCCTCCCAACAGGCGCTTTGGGTTTCCCGATTGGCCTCGTGGGCCTTCCCGACAGGACTTCGGGGCCTCCCGACAGGCCGCTTGGGCCTCGCGAGCATGCTGGGCATGTGTGGTCATCCACGGGACTGGGACGACGTTGCTTGCCTCCTGCAGCACTGTGGTTGTCCAGCGGACAGATCGCGCTTCGGCCTTCACGAGAGGCCTCTTGGATCTCCCGACAGGCGTCTTGGGCCTCCCAACGGGCCTCTGGGGACCCCCTTGCAAGGGAGGGTTAACATCCCTGGAAGTCATTCAATGTTCTCAGATATTGAAGCGACTGGCTTCTTTGGGCCTCCTGACTGGCTGCTTGGGCTTCCCGACAGGCCTGCTTCGCCTCCCGACAGACCACTTGGGCTCTTCCGACAGGCCTCTTTTGCCTTCCGATTTTTTTTTCATTTGGGCATCCCGAGAGGCCTTTTGGGTTTTCCGTCTGGCTTCTTCCCGACTGGCTTCTCGGGCTCCCGACAAGTGTCTTGGGCTTCCCGACAGGTTTCGGGGGCCTCCCGACAGGCCTCTTGGGCCATTGGGCCTCCCAGCAGGCCTCTTGGGCTTTTGGGCCTCCCGACAAGCCTCTTGGGCCTCCCGACAGGCTTCTCGGGCCTCCTGACAGACCTCTTGGGTTCTTCCGAGAGATTTCTTGGGCGTCTTGACAGGTTGATTGGGTCATTTCCGAGAAGTGTCTTGGGCCTCCCGACAGGCCCCCAAGGCCTTTCCGAGAGGCCTCTTGGGCACCCCGACAGTTTGTGTTTGGGCTTCCCGATCATACTCTTGGGTTTCACGACAAGTTCCACGGGTTGCCCGACAGGTTTCTCGAGCATTTTCCGGGCATGTTCTTGGGTCTCCCGACAAGCCTCTCGGGCCTCCCAACAGGCGCTTTGGGTTTCCCGATTAGCCTCGTGGGCCTTCCCGACAGGACTTCGGGGCCTCCCGACAGGCCGCTTGGGCCTCGCGAGCATGCTGGGCATGTGTGGTCATCCACGGGACTGGGACGACGTTGCTTGCCTCCTGCAGCACTGTGGTTGTCCAGCGGACAGATCGCGCTCCTTCAGCAGTCGAGCGCCCGTCGGCCGACGGTGTGCATGCGTGCATTGACAAAGATTTACACATAGGTCCAGGTATATGTACGCACCACCTACATCACACATATGGTGCGATACATAAGATAAGATAGATTTGTTCATGCCAGGAGTCGCTTTCAGTGTGCTGGGCTTGAAAGCTTGGTCCTCAGTGTTTTGATAACCTGGCACGAGGTCACATTACTCCAACGCTGTGCCAACTGCATAAGTGTGAGCTGGAACCGAAGAGCTGCGTTGAGAGACTGAAAATCGAAGATGGTGTACAAAGATCCACCAGGTGTGGTGCAACTACGTCGTCCGATATCCTTTCCACAGGCAGCAGTTCTTGGAGTCAAACCCCAAACACGTAAACAACACTAGGGGGCCTCTTGGATCCCTCTTGGCAATACTCGTGGTATCACGCGCGGCTGCCAATGGTTGGTTGCACCAAGATAGCTTCAACGGAATCCAACAGGAATCCGTATGTCTGCTTTACTCGGGTCCAACTGCTAACCCAATTGGGTGCCAATAGGAATCCAGTCGCTTGGAGTCCCAGTGATTCCCGCAGGATCCCATTCGTAGCCCAACGGGATCCAATGGGTGACTATATTATCGGGTTGTACCAGGATTCCTGAAGGAACCTACGCAATAGGAACCCAAGGATAATTAATATGATTGGATCCCAAGGGGACCAATAAAGTAACCCAGGCGGATTCCCATGACAAGGAAGCTCTGGGGTCCAGGTGGCTTACAACAGGATGCGAATCTGTATCCAACATGAAGGGGCCCGAGTGTATGCCAACACGATTCCAGTCGGAATCCGAAAGAGAGGAATCCGGATTCCGTTATAAAGGAATGCGATGGCATTCCAATAGTTTCGTTTTGGATTTTGTCAGGAACACGTTGTCATTCAAAGTGGAAGAAATGCATTATATTCCAAGAGTGCCACTACTATGAGGATATGTGGATGACAGTAGAAAGAAACCCAGAAGGGTTCAATCCCTAGCAGGAAATGTTTCCAGACTTCAAGTGGTTACCTTAAGTCACGTGATTACCTAAGGACTCGCATGGGCATTCTGAGTTCAACAGTCTATTTTTCTTTTGAGACGAAATTCAGGTGGATGCCAGGGATCGAGCCCTTCTTCCGGGGAGTACGCCTGCTTCTGGGGATTGAACCCTTCTGCTGGGGATCGAACCTGTCTGCCCGAGATTTAGGCCTTTTGGGGGCCTCCTCAAGCTCCTGAGAGGCTTCTTGCGCCTGCTGGTGGTCTCGGAGGCCGTCTTGGGGCGGAGGGCTCGACCCCTCTTGGGCCCCTCTTGGGGCCATTGTTGGGCCCTCGTGGGCCGTCTCGGCGGCCTCTTTGGCCGTCTTGGAGCCCTCTTGGGCCGTCCGCGGACCTGCAGCGTCGTCAGCTCTCAAAAGCAAGTGCGCTAAAATCCTGCAACCACCTAAGGGAAAGCGTTGTTTCAGGCCTTTCGGAGACCTTTTGGACGTCCTGGCAGCCTCTTCGGCCGTCTTGAGGTGATCTTTGGCGTTTTGGAACGATCTTGAGGCGAATCGAGGCCCTCTTGGACCGTCTCGGGGGACTCTGAGGGCCCCTTTGGCCCGTTCTTGGGCGTCTTGGCCCCCCACAAAAACCATACAGGAAGACCCGACAACGCCCACATACGCCCAGTTCTCCAGTCTGTGGGCCCCTTAAAGAATCCTCGGGACTGACGATAGAAGAGTCAAGTGACCTGAGGACACTGCCCATGGCCCATGACGCCTCCTTGCGTACCCAGGCTGCGACGGTCGAAGTGTGCCTAGCACATCGTTTTAGAAGTGCGTTGGCCACCGCTGCAGCCAGTGCCGTTGCCGGTTCTTTTTGTTTGTTGTCGTATGGCTTGGCGGGGGGCTATCAGGATATCAGGGGGCACCATACGTAGCCACATAACACTTTATCGCATGGCCCACCCATCATTCGCAGCGAATGGTATCGGAGGGACGGGGTGTGTAAAGGCGCAGCGTTGGACACGAAACCTGGACAGGGCCAAGCAAGCAGCCGCCAGAGCAGGTGGCATGTGGTATGGCAGTGATAATGAACATGAGCAGACATTGGCAGCCGATGTTGCCCAGGCCACTTGGCATATTTTGAACGACATGTTGTCGATCTTCGTCGCCGTGCTCTTCTTTGCATTGACGAAGCACGTCTCCGTTGACTACTTCGGCGAAGAGGACGCGCGGTTTCCGCGGTTCAAGACACTCCAGTTCTTGCCCAGCACGTCCACATCGGAGTTTGATCCGTTCGTTAGCAGCAGGCTCAGGCAGCATACGACCACGGCGAGGGATGGCGGCGAAGATAAACATAAGCAAATGTATGATGGGCCGTGGACGATCGTGGTGATAAGCGTGACGACAACGGTGGCGCTGGCGGTGATGATGGCATTCAGGTGGCGCATGCAAGCTGGTGCGGTGAAAGCTCAGCTTCGCACCAGCAGGTCCGGTGCAAGTTCGGCTGCGCACCGGCTGGCTTGCATGGCAAGAGTCGTCGTGTCCCGTCGGCGGCCACACCCAGGGCCGCTCCATTTTCCCTGAAAGAGGAAGTTGTTGTCAGCGATGAGCCTCTACCAACGCGATCAAGAGCAGAGACTTGCCGCCCCTCATTGGCAGGGATGCCCTGCCAGCGGGAAAGTTGCCACTCATCCCGCGGCATTTGGTGCGACATCTGGAACGATGATGGAGCCTCGGCATGCGCGTTGCTGCTTAGCCGTCAGTGTGGTACTCCTGGAGAGAGTTGGCTGGCGCCTGCAGCGCGAGAGAGAGAGAGAGAAGGGACAACAGTCAAAAGTCACTGGCCCTGCTTTCGCGGTGACACTCATCGCCCTCGGCCCTGCTTTCCGCGATCTCAACGGGAAGTCGGCTGCACGTCGAGGGAAGCCGTTGTTTGTTTCACCGCGATCGAAACACAACAAATTGCACGAACATCGCCGAGCGCGTTCCACTACTCGCAAAGTGCCTACTCGCAAGCGTCCGAAAAACCAGCGTTCGCCTCGATGCAATCTATCGTAAACCCCCCCACGGCGGATCCAGGCCATTCGCGAGTAGTGAATTTGCGAGCAGCGGAGCGCGCTTGCCTAAAACAGGCTTCACCGTCCGAAACTCCGCGCGGAGTCTTTCGGATCCTTGCGGTTGCGCTTGCAGCTCCGCCCCCGGCGCGCTCCGCGCCCGGGGAGGGGGGCCCAGCGCAGGCCCCAGAGATCCGCGCGAATCTTCGGAAGAGTGTTGGCCGATGCTGTTCTTTGCGCTTCTGTCTTGGCCACGCCGGACCCAATACGTACGTATGCTTTCCATGTCTGCGTCCAGGTCATCGCCAAGCGTGCCAGCCTCGCACGTGTAGCTTTGCCAGGCAGGGCGGGGGAGGGCCGCCCGAATGGTTCGGGTCAGCATCGTCAGTTGTTCGACATCTTCCTCCGCCGTCTCTGTGCCGCCGCCGCCCGCTACCGCTGCACCATTTTGAATTTCTGCAGTAGTGTATTGGTTCGAAGGACTAAGATGGCACCGCGGGCCAGCCGCACGCGTGCAAAAGGAAGCGCGTCGGGTCGTCGCCGTGTCGTCGTCTCCCTTTACCTGCGCACACATATCTTGGAACCACAGCTTCTCGGATATATCCGCCATGTCGACACGGGAAGTCCAGAGCAGTAGTGTGATTCTTAGCGCATCATCTCCACACCTCACATTCACCGAGGACCCCGTTCCTCCGGCAAGTGAATTCGCTGTCTCTCCTCTGCGCGCGTGCGCCGCCAGGATGGGCACGACCACAAACCTCCTGGCATGCGATCATCTTTGATCGCAGTGGGTAGGCTCTGCGGCGCGCGTTAAGGGGGGCGCGCGAAGGGGGCGGCACTCCAAGGAGGCGCGGGGGGGGGGAATTTGTGAGAGGGCCGGAGGGGTTCGAACGACATCCTCCGCGCTTTTGAGACGCCTTCCTGAAGCATACCAGCCCTTCTAAGAAAACCCCTGCTTCGTCCACGTCCAGTTCCTCTTCGTCCTCCTCCTCCTCCTCCTCCTGCTCCTCCTCTTCCTCCGCCTCCCCCTCCTCCTCCTCCTCCTCCTCCTCCTCCTCCTCCTCCTCCTCCTCCTCCTTTTCCTCCTCCTTTTCCTCCTCCTCCTCCTCCTCCTCCTCCTCCTCCTCCCATTCCTCCTCCTTCTCTTCCTCCCCCTCTTCCTCCTCCTTTCTCCTTTTCCTCTTCCTCGTCCTCCCCCTTTTCCTCCTCCTCCCCCTTTTCCTCCTTTTCCTCCTCCTCCGCTTCTTCTCTCTTCTCCTCCACCTCGTCCTCCTCGTCCTCCTCTTCCTCTTCCGCCTCCTCCTCATCCTTTCCCTGCCCTTCGAAGGCCCTTGCCTTCTTAAGACCCCCCCTCCTGCCGTTTGTAGAACGCCGCCCCCCCCCATCGCACCGCCCATTCGCGCGCATCGCTGGCAGGTTCTTATTTTTCTTCGCCGTGGTCCACCTATTGATTTACTTTGCGGCCAAGCTCGAGAACCCGCTGTGGTCCATGAAGAGCGTTGGCATCGTAGGTGGGCGCATGTATTTCGCGAGCACGCGCAGGAGTGAGAGGAGCAGGAGGAGGAGGAGGAAGAGGAGAGGAGGGGAGTGGAGAGGAGGGAGGAGGAACATGAGGAGGTCGACGAGGCGGAGCAGGATCGAAAACGAAGATGGATAGCTGGAGGATGAGGACAGGGAGCAGGACGAGGAGGAGGAAGAGGAGGAGCAGGGAGGGCGATAACGAAAAAGGAAACAAGAGAGAGAGAGAGAGAGAGAACAACATAAAAAAAAGAGAGAGAGAAAGAGAAAGAGAGCAAAGCAGAGCGAAAGAGGGGAGAAGGATGAGGAGGAGGAGGACGACGACGAGGCTGCAGGAGGCTGCTGTTCACAAGTCAGCTTTCTCCGCTGCGGGTGAAGGGGCATCGCTCCACCACGTTGAGCTCTGATGTACTCTAGCCTCAGCATGCTTTCCTGTGAGGTGCACCGGCTGCTTGCTACGGCGTTCTCTGGGAGCCATCCGAGGCGGGGGTATCAAGGGCATGTGTGCGGGCATGGCGTCGCAGACGGCCAGGATCTTTAGGACGCTGGCAAAGAAGCACCAGTTTACGGCAGTCATTACGTGGATTGAGCTTGTGTCGGTGTTTGTACATGACGCCCCGTCAGGTTGGCTTGCCGATGGCACGTGCTGAGAGGGTTGTTGACGAAGTACTTGCTACTGCAATGCCCCTGTTGGAGATGGTATTGAAGGCACTCGTGCTTGCGGACAAGAGTATCAACCCCCATGTCGTGGCGCAGGTTGTGGAGGCGTATCACGTCACCCATGTTGCTGTACTTAGTGATGCGGCATGGGTGATTTCACGAAGGAGCTCAAGAGCGGGGAACCCTCTGGCGGAATGCTTGTTCAACATCATATATGCCAGGCCTCTATGTGGGATTCGTGTTGGTTTGGTTTCTGCAGGCATGGCCTTCGACATCACACAATGAGAGGACGCAAGCATTTTCAGCCAGGGTTTGGAGATGCCCCCGCAGTCCTTCTCGGAAATTACTTGTGTTGATGACCCAGGCATCTGCACGCCATGCCACAACAACGAGATCGTGTCGCACGCTGTCAAGGTCGGCAGGATTGCTCGGACACGTATGGCGAGGCCAGGTTTTATATCAAATTTGGCACGCGGCAAGACGGCTATCCGTTTTTGCCTTTTTGGGGCTTGGGAGTATTGAGATCAGGAGGAATTTGGTCAACAGAGTTGTATCCAAATATGATGCTGGTGGTTGTGATCAGATATCCATCTAGAGAAATTTGGGGCATATTAGGTCGCTTCTAACGCACATCGTGGTTGAGGGCCCAACGCTTGCGCGCAGGATAGGAAAGCATGCTGCTGCAATTCGGCCCGCGCGTGCAACGGTGCTTTGCCATCATGTTGAGGTTGCGCACAACATCTGGTATGTCGACGCCCTTGCCAGCACGCACCTGCTCTTCCAGGCCGAATGCTGGGACATGCTGTCCAAGACGGCGGTGCCCAGGCCGCAGCATGCGTTCATGGTCGGGTACCGCGCGGCGTACAGTCGGGGCGCTGAAGAAGGAACCCTTTTCGTTGGGGAGGGGCTCCGTGTTCCTTAATTGTTTTGCAGCTTGCCCTAGGTTTTCCTTTTATTTTCGATATGAAATCGAAGTTTAATTTATGTTGTGGGAGGTCTCGCGCTTCGATGTGCAAGAGGTCTCACGGTTTCGCAGGCGAAAGAATCTTGCCAGGCCCACGATGCACGGGCCGCCCACCCTCAATATATGCTGCTGGACCTCACGGTGGGTATCTCAGGCTCGTGGGTTGAGCTGGTACAGCGCGCCTTTGCCCGGCTGCGCGTCGTTGCAAATATGTGTGCCAGACAACGATCCAGAGAGCCATGGCGGTTTTGAG